CTGGTGCCAGTGTTATATCTATACCCCGTACATGCAGTGCAGCCCTGTGCTCTGTATTTTAAATTTCACTTGCAAATGGCGATCGCTCATTGGTCAGTGTGGTCAACCAGCAAAGTGCCTATTGCTAAGGGGGTACGGTTAGTACAGAGGGTATGGATTGTGTACAGGATACAGATAGTACCCCGGCACTGGCGGAGGGGAAGGAGCATTTGCCAAAAGGCAAGTATAGCGGAGAGGGGGACAAATTGGAGGGGCTAAAAATCCAGAAGGAGGGACAGTGTCAGCACAAATTCAAAGATGATTTGAGGATCTACTGCTGAGTGATACACAAATAAGCTCCATTTTTAATAGTTAAGGTACTTGAATGTATTTTTTAAATGTAACTTCTGGGTTTAGTGTCACTAACTCCTTGTGCCCTGTGATGTACTCTAAGAAATGTGTTTTGAAGGTAAGACAAAAATCCTGTTTTAGTGAATTAAAACATTCTCTATAATTAGGAGATATATACATTTAGAGAAGCAGAAGTCACACGTTTACTGCTACCTTGACTTTGTGTTCTAGCTGTTTTCTGTCTCCTTGCTTATGAAGTAGACATAGGAAAAATGTTTCCCTACTAAGGTAAAATAAAACCAAATAAAATTACACAATATATGTGCATTTTATATAATTATTCGCCTGCAACAATCTTTACTCAGTATTAGTAGTATAGTATATTGTGGTATTTGAAAAACAAGCATAGATGTAGGTCTAAGTACACTTGAGGTATAAAATATACAGGAGCTATGTTTTTGATGAATAGCTGTCAGATGTGGTAAGTGTCCCTTAGTTAAATAAAATACTCTGTCACTATAACCTAGTTTATTGATTCCACAATTTCTAACACCCCACAAATTCTAAAATTTTTAAAACATGCCTCCAGTTTCTGACAGTCTACTCATAATATGCATGCAGTCTGACAATTGACATGTGGTCTCCTTGTTAACATGCCTGAAGTCTCTGCCTTCCTGAAGTCTGACTGCCTCCTTGCTGCAGTCTCTAACTGCCACTCTGCAGCATGCCCATAGGTTCTCCCTGCAGTATGTCTGCAGTTTTTAACTGCTTTGCTGCAGCATTCCTGGAGTTTCTGCCTTGCTGCAGCACACTCAGTCTCTTCCTCCCTGCAGCATAACTGCAGTCTTTGGTTGTGTAATAAAACTTACCCTGCAGCGTTCCGTAGTGAATGCTTGTTGTCTTCCCCTCCCGCTGCGTCGCTCCGCCCCTCCTTCCACTGCCGACTGTCAGATTTAAGGAGGGGATTTTGAATTGCTCGGTGTCTTGACAATGTGATGCAGACGCTGAGCAACTTCCCTCGCTGACACCTCCATTGATCCTCAGTTCAGTACTTGGATCTCTCTGCACACTGCTGGAGCCCTCATCTCTGCAATTAACCATCTATGCCTGAGTGGGATGAAACACTCTAGTAATCTCTATCTCAATTCCCAGCAATCAGATGGACTTTAGCTTAACTGGTTCCTGCTGATCAAATCCATATACCAACAAACAAACTTTCAAGTCTACTAACCAAGTATAACCTTCCTGCAGTGCTCCTGAAGTCTGACTTTCTTGCTCCAGCACATCAATCTGACTGCCTTCTTCAGTGTTCAAGAAGTCTCTGACTTCCTCCCTGCAGAGGCTTTGCCGTCTCTTAACTGCCTTCGTGCAGCATGCCCACAATCTGACTGCTTTCCTGCAGTGTTGCTGAAGTCACTGATTGCATTTCTCCATTGTACACACAGTCCTTGTACTGCCTTATTAGAGCATGCTTGTGGTCTTGCTGCCTCCCTCAGCAAGCCTGCAGCCTCTGACTACCTCCTTGCAGCATTCCCATAGCCTTAATTCCTCTGTGTAGCATACCTGTAATTTCTTCCTGCTTGCCTGTAGTGTGCCCACAAACTGACTCCCTCCCTACAACCTGCTCCCAGTTTGATTGTCTTCCTGCAGCCATCCTGAAGTCTCCCAACTGCTTCCCTGCAGTGTACTTGCAGTCTCTGGCTGCCTCTTGACTGCTTCTCTGAAGCCTGCCCACAGTCTGACTGCCTCCATGTAGCATTCCTGGAGTCTGACTGCTTTTCTGCAGTGTAGCCGCAGTCAGACTGTAGTATTTGATTGCAACTCTGCAGCCTGCCTACTCTGTGTCTTGAAACATGTCAGCTTTAAAAGTAGCTACATGTAGGAAATCCGCTTCTGAAAAATTAAATTATTGTTTTTTTTTTTGCAAATGACTATTGTTTTACCACTCATTAATACAGCATTCACTTCACCCCCCCGAAGATGACATTCTGTGTAATTGTAATAAATGCGCACTTATCACACTATCGGTACATCTGATGAGTAAATACAACTGTATTATTTCATTGTCATTTCACTGTGAAAAATCATTTTTTGAACACGCTAATGTTTCTTTGCTTTCAGCTACTAGAAATATACATTTTTGCTATCATACTGATAAATTCTGTTAGGAATATGATGCTGGTAACTGTATATTTTATCTCCTGGAGGATCAAAAATAAAAAAATAGAGAGAATTATTCCGATCATTTCATTCAGCAGTTCACTAATTTCACCTTAACAATTGAACATGTGAAACAAATGTTTTTTTTATGGCCAGTTTCTTTGCATCGTCCAAAAAAAGGGATATTAAACCTGTGGATACCATTTTTCCAGATTGACGAGTTTTTCTCTTCTTGTCAGATGATCTTGGTTGCAGTGTTCTCAGAAACGGGATTCTTTGATTACTGTGCTGTTAAAGTAAGTAAAGACAACATTTTTACAGGAATGGGGAGGGATAATGTATTTAATACATTTTATTGTTTATATTTTCAGCAAAGTTTGTGATTCTCTTAAAAAAAATCCAAGTCAATAATAGAAATTGTCTTTACTGTTCCACACTCAAGGGGAATTGACAATAGTATACACAAGCCAGTATAGGGATAACTGTGCTTACACCAACAGTCCTTAAAGAGGATCTGTACTCTGGAAACTGTGGCCAAAAAAGACCAGCAGAGGCCATGGGACTGGTCGCTGGTATTGCCTACAGGTTCCCTGCAGCTGATCTTTTCTCCACTACTAAACTGCCCTGTTTTTTCCACGCTGTGTTTCTGTATGGAGGCACCAACCTCATCATGCATCACTTCCCCCTCCCTTTTAGATTGTAAGCCCTCAGGGCAGGGCCCTCCTTACCATCTTGTCTTGAATTGTATTGTGATTGTAATGTCTTCCTTATATTGTAAAGCACTGCACAAACTGTTGGCACTATATAAATCCTGTAGAATAATAATAATAATAATAATAATAAAGGCAGAGCTTTGGTTCCTCATTCCAGAGCTGTCCCTCTGATGACTAGTGAGGGAATATTCATGAAGCAGCAGGAGAGGTGGGTGATCCACAGAATGAATTAATCAGAAGCAGGGAGATGTTTGTAGCACAACATTCTCTCCAGCAAGGAGAACAGTGGGCAACATAGTAGTTATGTCACCAAATCTCAGGGATACTATAGATGATATCACACTGCAGATATGCAATACTGCATCTACATGAAGAGGAATGCATAGTTGCATGCCAGGAAATTTTATTTATTTTTTTCAGGAGGAACTCAAGACAAAAAGGAACATTTTCCTAGGTACTGCTTGGGTACAATTAACATTTCTAGATGTTGCATATAATTATCTTCAGTCTTTGAGTTCAGGTTCACTTTAAGCTGCGGAGCTATTCACTTTTCCCATTATACAGATGACTTCTAGAGAGAGCATTGTCAAAGTTGTATATGAAATAGGATAATTAAAACATGGGACAGCAAGTTAAAGGTAAATGTTACATTTGTAGCATAGTGTACTTACTGAAATAAACTAAAGTTTCTCTTTAAGTGCACAATCCAACATTAATCTAAATAGCTCAATAGTAACAATCTCAAGACAAAATTGAATACATCTGTAGATAGTTTAAAAAAACTCCTTTAGCAATAAGTTAATTTATGAGAACTTTACATTGTCCACTTTTTAAGGTGAGAGAGCTAATGTACAGTAAGCAATAGTTCATCTTTTGATATGTCTTCTCTGTGGTTTTAAATTGACAATTATTTGTTCGCAGCATGGCAAGATTGGTTTTGAGAAACCAATTTTATTGCCACAGCTTTTATGTAGTTTACTAGTTTGTGACACCAAATAGCACCTGTTACCTTCACAATGTGAAACAGCATATAGATTTTCTTTTAAATGTATTCTGATTGTGGTAATATATTGTGAGCTACATATTGGGCTATACAAGTTAACACATCAATATTTATGTGTTTTTGCCTTTTTAATCCAGGTATAGTATATAATACATTATTATTTTTTGATTCAAACATTTTGCTAGTGTTTGTTACATACGATCCATCTGTTAATGTATGCGTATACATTTTCCTTTTTTTGCCTTTTTTTTTTTTTTAGGCTTATCGGCTTTCTAAAGGAAGAGTGTGGCCCATGATAATGATTCTTTGTCTTATTGCTGCTATTCTCTCTGCGTTCCTAGACAATGTCACCACCATGTTGCTTTTTACTCCAGTAACAATAAGGTACTGTGTGTACTTTTTCATTCAATAGATAAATAATACCTATGCTCATGATACTGTATGTGTATTAGGCAGTCTGATAAGCTGACTTGATATATATGACTATGTGCTACAATATTACTTTTTTTTTTTAGTTGATAGAATCGTGTGCTGGTTCAAGGGGACTAAAATTTAAATAATTTGATGCCATGAGTTATGCTCTTAAATATACAGGAACCTCATGGGTTGGGTTTTAATAAGACAGATTTGGTTATATCAGTGGACATGATAGACGCTCAGAAACTAGTTATTGCGAAAGGCCACATAGTGTTAGTAATTATAACTATGAGACCTGATTTTCCTGAACTAGGATTTTTTAACAGTCTGCTCTTATTTTTCACTTTTGACATGTCAAACATATGCCTCACCCCAGAACATATATAATGGATAGATGGTCAATATGCCTCATCTCGGAACATATGTTAGGTAATGGATAGATGGTCAAATCCACTTTCTTGGCTGCAATGACTGTACTGTAATTTGCTAAATGTATATTTTGATACATGTTTTCCATATTGTCGCAGTCAAACTTTTAACACGCATATTTCAAAGCAACAGTATGGTTTCAAATATGCCAGTCTTTCATAAGTAGGGTACAAATGTGTAAGTAATACAGATCAGCAGGACACGTAAGGGTGAAATTATTTACTCTGTTTGATTTCACTAAAACATTCCTGGTGGAATCTGGATTCTGATATTTGCCCAAAGCCACTTTTGTAAGCTGCATCCTTCATACCTTTCCTGAAGGCACACCAACAGGCACCATTTTAATGATAAGCCTAAGCGTTGCATAAAGCAAATATTTAACAAAATTAAATGAAAAAGCTGAGTTGCATTGTGAAAGACAAAGGTTTTTTTGTTTTTTTTATTTTAAAAAATAAATCGTACGCTTAAAACTTACCTCTAGGCAGAATTAAGGATACTAATTAATGCAGTTCTGTAATCATTAATAAATAAAATTTATTTTTTACATGCATGCAGTGTAAGTACCTGAAATTGTCCTGGTATCAGTCCTTAAACAGCAGGGCTAGAGTGTGAGCAGTACAGGGAGACTATCGTTCATGTGCTGATGGGAAGATAAAGCAGAGTGACAGAGAGATTAGCTTATTACTGTGTAGTTTCTCCTTTCACTATCCAGATACAGACTGGGGCAAGTCCAGGCCGATCTGGGCTCAGAGGAAGCGAGTTAAACAATGTTGGCTAGCAGGTTGAGCACATCTAGTCAAAATAAGAAGTATTGCAGCTGTAAATCTTACAGCAAAAACTGGATAATTTAATCTTTTAATGGGCTATTTATTCTCATATTTCTACTTTTTTAAAGGGAAGCTATACTGTTTTTAGGTCAATTTGGAATTAAAGTTTACATATTTTTAAACTGCTTTTGTCTCTTTTGTTTGATTAGAAAATATAGAAAAAATGAATACATAACAAAGGGTTCTCAGAGTACTATGGGTAAACTTTTTAGAATACGCATAACAGACACTGCTTGCATTGAGGCTCTGACTGAAACCTTAACCACTTAAGTACCAGCCTGTTTATACCCCCTCATTAACAGGCCATCTTTTTAGTTTTCAGTCATGTGATAGTTTGACTAATAATTAGGGTTGCACAGATACCAAGTACAGTACTTGGTACCAGTACATGTACCGATACTTTTGAACTCCAAGACTACACTAGAGAAAAATTCAAAAGTTAGGAGGCAGCTGTAATTTGTAAGGAGCACACGGAGCTCCTGGGATTTGTACATCTCTGTTTTAATGTACGATTTTGTTTTTATAAATATAAATAAAGGGATGCACAGATACTAGTTTTGCTAGTACGAGTACTGATACTTGCCGAGTACTTACAAGTACTGATATATTTTTGTTGTCATGTGACAGTTTTTCTAAAACAATACAGACGAATGATTTCAGGACAGTGGTGGAGTGCCAGAGCCAGGTCCCAGCTGCAACCGTTGCAACCCTGGTAGTTCTCATGAAAATGCCAAGTATCGGTACTGGTGCTCGAAAAGTATCTGTGCATCCCTACTAATAATTATTCATTCCTGCAACACTGTACCAAAATAAATGTGATATTTTTTTGAGGCAGATAGCGCTCTATTTTGGTGATATATTACCTGCTGGCATTTATTATCTTTGTACTATAGAAAGGGCACTTTTGGGGCAAAAATTGGTTTTCCTCTCTGTAAAATAAAAATGATGATGCCTTTTGGAAAGTTGACATCCCAAGGTGATCTCATTTTTTACGGCAATTTTTTGGAAATGAAGAAACATGATGGTATTGATGGCTTTGTCCTTGGCCCCTTCTCTTCTCTATCTGCATCTCCTCCCTTGGTCAGTTAATAACCTCACATGGCTTCCAATACTATCTCTATGCCGAAGACACTAAAATATATACCTCTACTCCACAACTCACCCCCTCAGTATCCTTGCGTGTCACTCTTTCAAAACTGAGCTCATGATATCCCCCCCCCCATATGCAACTTCCCCCAACTTTTCCCTTGAGATTGATAACACAACTATCCAACCCTTCCCCATGCCAAGGTGCTAAGTGTCATCCTCGACTCAGACCTCACCTTTTATCCCCACATCCAATCACTATCCAAATCCTGCCACCACCTTCATAACATCTCCAAAATACGCCCCTTCCTCACCAATGAAACCACAAAATGACTCATTCACTCACTTGTTATCTCTCGTTTTGACTATTGCAACTCCCTCATTAGACTACCTCTACACAGGCTATACCCCCTTCAGTCTATCATGAATGCAGCTGCTAGACTCATCCACCTAACCAGCCACTCAGTGTCTGCAACCCCCCTCTGCCAATCCCTGCACTGGCTTCCAATAGCCCAAAGGATAATATTCAAAATATTAACGACTTACAAAGCCATCCACAACTCTGCCCCCGGCTATATCTTAAACCTTGTCTCAAAGTATCACCCTAACCGCCCCCTCCGCTCTTCCCAAGACCTCCTGCTTTCCAGCTCCCTTGCCAACTCCTCCTATGCTCACCTCCAGGACTTCTCTAGAGTCTCTCCTGACCTCTGGAATTGTTTACTCCAACCTGTCCGACTTTCTCCCACTGTGATTTGCCTTTAGGCGTTCCCTTTAGACTCATCTCTTCAGGGAAGCCTTTCCCACCTCAAACTAACCACTCAACCATCACGTTCTCAAACAATTCATCCCCACACAGCTACCCCTCATGTATCACTTGCCACTTTTAGATTGTTAGCCCTCATGGGCAGGGCCTTCTTTATAATCTTGTCTTGAATTGTAATTGTGATGTCTTCCTTATATTGTAAAGTGCTACACAAACTGTTGGACTTATACATATCCTGTATGATCATAATAATAATATTAATATTGAGTGTTAAACATGGAGCTTAGTAATTGTGAACTTGATACAGTACATCATGTCATACACAGAGGGATCAGGAGGCAAATGGGGTTAATGTACAGGTCACATAAAGTGGAAGGAGGTAGATGAAGAGGTCAATGTCCAACTGTGCAGGATAAGGGAGATGAAGAGTTAATATACAGGACACCATACAGAGGCAGGCTGGAGATCAGTAGTTTAGCAGATGCGTACTGAAGGGGTTAAAAAGGTCTAAGCCGAGGAGGGGCTAGTGAGCAGCCAACCAAGATGGCCGCAATCTAACTTGGCTCCGCCACACATAAGCCACTGAGAATCAATAAATGAGTCACTAGATGCTACTGATGAGTCATTCATTGACTCCCCTATTCAGTTTACTGCAATTCCTCTCCTTACTCTGTAGTAAGAGGAAGTGGAGAGATAATCAGTATAAACAGTAACTTTAGTCAATACAGCAATCACATATTACTGAGCCACTCAGATGGCTCTGCACAGTGTCTCTATGTACCGAGCCATCAGAGGATGGCTTGGTACACAGAAGCTAGTGGGTACGGTGGCGCCCAGTGATCATATGTAGAATGACGCCTATAGATGTCCTTATTTTTACAATAAGGTGGTAGGAATGTGGTTAAGCACAGTTTTCTGATGAGGGATGAATCACTGCACTAATGAATCTCTAAGTTCACTAAACAACCAGTTTCTCTCAGCAAATCTGTAAAGGAGTGCAGAAAAAAAAGGATGCTAGAGCTATACCTGCTGACTATATAGACTTTATAGAATGCAATATTTATTTTTAACCTGACTTGTGTTCCTGATCATAATAAAGATATGTACAATGTCAATAGAAATTCCATATAGTGACCATGTGATTGGTCTGTGCTGGGCAAAGAAACAAGTTTGCTTTAATTCCCCCTCTGCAGATGCACATACTTAATTGCTTAACTCCTCCATTCATTTGATGGGAGCAGGAGAAGTCTCCCAAGTAACCTATTAGATGTTTCATGCAGAGCTATGGACTCCCCTCATGTGACAGCACTGGTGCTTGGTGATTTCCCAAGTGCTGTCACAATAAGTGAGTGCTTCTCCATATCCTGAAAAAAATGCGTATATTATGTTCCTAGCAGCTGAATGATCATTGCTTTGCATTGAAAAAGCACAGGCTTGCTTTGTTTCATTGTGGAAGTATGCAATTTTGCACTTAATATCAATGTGGTAGTTTATTTTTAGTTTCTTGAATAAGGAACATTATGTTCATGTTAAGACTCTTCAAATACTGTAAGCCTTTAAAGAACAGAGTGCCAGCCAGGTAATTGTTCCATTTTCCAAAAATAAATTCCTTGATAGCTGTGTAATATAGATAAACCCTTAACAAACTTGTATTTATTTGCCTGTATGTATCAGCAGTGTTGAACCTTGGGAAAAGGATGGGATTTGTAGAAATGGTATAAGAGTCAATAGTAGTTTTCAAATGTTGGAAATCCAAGCTGATTGCCGAAGATTTGTCCACTCTACAAAGAACATCATCAATCATAATTCATAATTCCTTAACCAAATAAGCATTTTGTAAGTAATGCCTTAAAAAACGTCAA